GATAAGTGTTAGACGGTCAGTTAAATCCTGGCGTCGTATTCAACGCCATCAATAAACGTGTAAATTCGGTTGACCCATTTTGACCGCAACTCATAAACTTGACCTCACTTACCAATATAAATGGGTCGGGTTCGGTCGGGTTGATGGGTTGGCGTCATAAATTGCCACCCTTAAAAAGACGGATAATTTTGGAATTATTGAAAACGTTTATGAGTTACATTAAAAGACACTGACCCACAACCATCATCAGCTATGCACCTGTTTTCCACCTGATATGTAAGAGCTATAAGTTTGAGCGAATTGTCACAGTGAGCTGCGTGATAGTCCCTTAAACAATCCCTTAGACCAAGGTCCTCTTATCAGGTGCATGATTTAAGATAGACCTACTATGGCATCTCGATCCTTTGCATAGCAATAAAAATTTCATGTAAGAGATCATATAGTAAGTTGCATGAAATGGTACGGGTACGAGGACAGTGGCGGGTTGGGATAAGACTTGACAATTCTTGAAATGTAGGATACATCTCTCTCACAACACGGGTTTGTAATGGTTCCGCATACAGCGTTTAGAAGTGTATTAGTTATATATCCTAGTGCCCTCATACTCGGATTTTTACTTGTGTGAAATTAGTAGGATAAGGTGTGAAATTCGAAAAGGTATGTGAATCAGATAGTAATATGTACTGGGACAGGGGGTGGAAGTTTAAGGATTAAAAGTCGAATTTTACTTATTGTGAGCTAGTTGATTCTTAACGGAGGAGGAGGAAAAAAGAGAGAGATGTATCCTACATTTCAAAGGATTGTCATGTCTTGTCGCCGCACCAGCACTTGACGCGTTACCCACCACAACCGCATTTCATGCAACTTACCTTATCAGAAGTGTCGTCTTCTATCGACCATTTTTATTCGGCTAATGCAAAAGGACTCGAGATGCATAGTAGGTCTCTATCCTAAAATCATGCAACCTGAATACGAGGACCTTGGTCCTACCCCAGGATTAGTTTAAAGGGGCTCATCACCGTCAACTCACTGGTGACAATTCGTACAAACTTCTATACTCTTAGCTATAGGTGAAACGGTCAATTATCGCTGATGATGGTGTGGGACAAGTGTTCTTTTTATATTTGTAAGACTTCATAAACTGTTTCAATAATTTCCAAAATTTAGTCAGTCTTTTTAGTGGTGGCAATTGTATGAACACACAACAGCCATCACAAAACAGACGCACTTGACCGATCCATTTATATTGGGTTGGGTCAAGTTATAATGAGGGTTTGGTCATTATTAGGGCCTCCAACCGAATTTTACCCGTTTATTAGATGGGTTGATATACTGACACCTCTATGACCGCGTCTAACACTTTATCTAACACAGTTCCGAAATTTTTTTTTAAACCCAAGTGAACGTCTACAAGCCCGACTAACGCTTCGTCTCCTCTCCAACGAAGCCCTAGTTTTATCTCTCTCCTCTCGGGGAGCAAGGCGAGGGGCCGGCGAGCGCAGACAAGCCGAACCACATAACTGGCTCATGCTTTTTGGGTTTGTTGAAGTATCATTCGGGCGATTCTGCGATCGAGGCTCCCTCATCTCGGGTTGCATCCGGCGAGGCGGTCTTTCAGGCGATCCTTCGAAGGGCTAAAAGTTCTCCGTCTCTCCATCGGCGAAGTGGCGGCATTCAGCGATCCTTGACGAGCGGGCCGGCAGCAACGACAAAAAGCTTGATCCGTGTCGAAGAGGTCTCTCCTCTCATCCATCCACGGACGAGCTCGGGTGACTGTGGTTAGCGATCCTGAGACGAGATCCGTGGAGAAGAAAGCAAGGCTTGATTTCGTTTTGACGAGATGGATTGACAATCACGTAAAATACAATCGGGTCTCTTCAAAGGCATACAAGGGTGAGCATCATATACAAAAAATGCTGCTAAAAAAGGCAAATAAATTTTAGTTTGGAGTGTCAATGATGATCTAATCCACCGATCCTCCCGACGAAGTCATACTCCATACTTTCATATGCGAGGAATTCCCTTCTCCTCTCTCCATCGAGCTCAGAGTTCCTCTTTAAACGTCAAAGAACCTGCAAGACTGGAGGATAAGATTTGGAGAAAATAATAAGTAAGCGTGTGGCTTATCGATCGTTTGATGCCGAGAAGAACAGATCTTCAAATCGAGCTACTCACTGGATTTTGAGGTAAACCTCTTGTTAGGGGCTTTTGATCTTGGCGTTTTATCATTTGGGGGTTTTTTCATCCTGTCCTTCTTTTCAATTCTGAAGATATCTGCTGGGGATGCATTGATTAATAAGTGAGAACAAAAGTCTTGTGAACGTGTGGACACCCAACGAGAGTATCTACGAAGGCATGAGAAATCAGTTTCACCCGTTAATGGCTCCTCATCGCACATCTTCAGATCTTTAATATGCAAGCCAGATTCGTATATATAGCTGCTCACCTAATCCAAGGTCTGGAGAGACATAAACTAACTTTAAGGAACTATACGTATTCAGAGATAAGTTGAGGATATGATTTAGGAGGTGTGTATTCATGAAGAGTATTTTTCCAAAATTTCAAGTATGGGGTTATTTATATGGTAAACATGTCATACTTCAGACAAATGCTATCAATTATCCCATGTGGATACATGGAATATAACCATATAAGACAATAATCATTTTGAGAACTACGGAATTTTGTTAGTTGTTGCCAATTTCAATGAATTTCCAGGGGCATAATTCTCAAAATATTGAAGGTTTAAAACAAATGTCTAATACCATAATGTCATGCCAGCGCAAATGGGGACACTTAGAATGGTACGCTCAGCTACATTAAATATGAATCCTTTTTGTTTAAATCAGTTTATTTGTTATCTGTTGTATTTTATTTAAACTTATTATTACAATCTTTATGTAGTTATGTATTTTACAAGTTAATGGACGTCTAATTTAACCATTGGATGTCTATAGGCCGATAGAAGTAGAAGCAGATTCATGAACTAAATGAAGATCTAAGAAGACATGTCTAGTCCTGTCAGAAAAAATCAAAACGATAATTGTGAAGTCGAAAAAGAAAATTAATCGTCCCAAAGCTTGCAAATGTTTGAGCCTGTTCAAGAAAATCAACCTATTAATATCTAGCTCTGATCGTGATTTTATTTAGCATTACGTCTCATGAGTACCAAAAGATGCCTACCAGGAAAATAAGGCTTGGTTTCATGAATATTTGTAATACTATCCAGTTCTCTGCTCTCTTAACGCAAATTTCATTACTATACAATTTTCTGCTCATTTAGCATTCTTACTCTTTATTCATTGATGTTGATGGATCAGATTTTGAGCATGGTAACATACCCGACACCACATTACACATTGGATATGTTGATTGAGTTGTTTCGGGATATCCAAAGGGAAAGGCTATGCATATCCTGAAACATTGTACAGTCACTACTATGTAATTGCAGCCATGTTGTACTGTAGATGTGGCCATTATAGGTTTACGTATAATCCTGACCCTTTAATTAATTAAAGTGATTAGCACCTAAATGTTTTGCATACAAGCTGCACGAGAAAGGCATAATCTTCAGTACTAAGTCGATGAGAGAACCTAGTATCACAAAATTTATACTGAGCTACAGGATGTCTATTGATGAAGCATTTTACAGCTTATACCAAATGATTATGCGGCATTCAGTGTCCTTTAACTTGATATCTATCATTATGGACATACAGCACACGATTATGATATATGTGGTGGAGGATTTTATTCCCGTGCGGGTGGTAGTTGCATCTAACTTCATTCTCGTGTTAGTGCCAACGACAAAGAATAACGGCTTAAACATATACATTCATCATCAAACGGCAACAGACCAAGCATGCACGCATTGAATATTTATCCATCAATTTCGCGCTGCATCAACCATCTATATATGTCAAAGTAAACTCGAGGACGGCTTGAAAAAACTAATAGCCTGGCATCGAATTTTCTTCGGTTGTGTTACAAATTCCAGCAAGCTAAAGATGAAGGCCAAGTAATAAGCTAATCATGACTAAGCATACGCAAATCGGAGCGGAATCAGAGAAGTGATATAAGTTAATCAGAAGATGACAATGACTGCAAGCTGGAGTTGTTTTGAAATATCATAGTCTTCTCTCTACTGGCAGTGAAAATTGGACGCTTTGGACTACGGCCCCTGACCAAAGTATTTTATCTGATGATGCAATATATGCACTCACTGCGAAACAAGAAGACTTTTCGAATCATGGATACGCATGCAATCTTCCTCACCTGCAACTCAAATAAGTATTCTTTTTGTAACGCATGAATATCAAATCTGGGACTCTGTTTTCGACCACGAGTGCGGCTATAGCTTCCAGGTCCATATGATAGCCAACTTCACCTCCTTAAATATTAGGATCTTTTGTTTCGCCTAAGATTGTGCTTTGGCATTTGTCTCAATTCAATAAACCTTAACGTATTATCATTGTTTATTTAGGCATTACGCACCTCGTTTGAAAAGGCCAAGAAATTATTAGTTCTCAAAGACCCAATAGAACTTTATTTGGATGAACCAAAAGACTTTTTGACCGTGGTGCTCCCACTTCGAGCATTCTTCATTTTGCGGAAGACTAAGAGGGCATAAGATATCCGCCGAGCTCTCTGCTATTGCAAGGGAACATAATGGCGGTTCCCTATATATCCTACGGTGCCTGGGTACGGAAAGTACTTTCAGTGTGGTGGAGAATCCTTATTCAATACCGTAGCACTTAAGCCTAACAATGTAGAGGCTTTAGTTGGCAACGGTATTGGTTTATTGTATCAAAAGGTAGACAATTACCTAATGTTATATTTTTTTACGTTGTTTTTGGGGCCATCAGAATACAGTTATGAATTTGCTTATTGATATTTTTTATTTTATTTAATGATAGATGACATGCACCAAAATTAGATGAGCTTTGCCGAGGATATTCATGCAATTAGCTGTTGGAGATCTATGCCAAACACAAGTATGAATCTCTTATACTATGAAGTCTCCATGGCTTAGTATATACTTTGATTACTTGAATAATCAAATCTATAAAGTTGGTATGGTTTGATTTATTTGTAAGTAAAGCTCTTTACTTGATTGTTTTAATATGTTTCCTTGGACAGGAGTGATAGCATTTGTTTCTCAAGGTCAGATCGACATTTTGGTATCTGTTTTATTTTGGCAGCAGGTTCCATCCTTTTATTTAAGCAGTAGCTTGATGTTGCGCAGGAGAAGTGAGTGAAGGACACATTTTGAGGAACATGGGTCTTGTATGTTAAGTCTGCTGCTGCTTTGTTGGAGCTTGTAACTCAAGTTGCATTATTTTATTTGCTGCTTTGTTGGAGCTTGTAACTCAAGTCTGCTGCTGCTTTGTTGGAGCTTGTAACTAAAGTTGCATTATTTTATTTGGTGCTTGTTAACTGTACATGTGGATGCAATTTCTTCATCCAATGCATTGAACATGAAATGCTCACGTTCATTTCTTCCTTCATTGCTCTCATCTGAAATGAGTAGCTTTGTGAAATACTGAAGTTGGAGAAATTGTAGAAATCCATGAGCAAAGCGAATCTCAAAACTTATTCTTAGGAAATTAGGGAATTGTTGCTATCGGTTACATCTGATATCATGAGTGGGTGTTTCTTAGTTGTAGGCACAATGGTTGTATGCATCCTCTTTGTACTACAATATGTGGCACATTCTATTGGCTCAGTCAGCTCTGTTTGTCTGTGGCACTAGTAAGTGCCGTAGAGATGTTGCAGTTATTTTCTGGGACCGCAACTCTTATGTAGCAGGTCTCGAGGGTGACAAGAGTAGTTTGGAGAATACTAGAATTAGAGAAGAACGAATCAACAATTACATCGCTTTCACTTTTTTAAGCAGTATGTTTATGCCTATGCAATTATGTATTAAATGCTGTATAGTGATTTTTCATCTGAACCGCTTTGGATCAGTATTCAATTTGAATCGGTGCATTATGGGTTTATATGATTTGATTATTTCATGGTAATTGGAAAAACCTATAAGTTATTAAACAGGTCTTTGGGTTATATGGTCGGGTGGGTACTATTCCGTTTATATTAATGGTCGGCACTGCATTTTGACCCACATTTATTAAAAAGATCGGCTCCGGGTCACGCTTATAACGTGGTCGGGTCGAAAGTATGACCGACCACGACCCGACCCACGACCCCGTGCACCACCCTGACCGTCTCTATCCTCTTATTACTTGAGCTCGCCTATCTATAATGTATGACTTGAAACTAATATGTCAAAGAGACGTACATATCCGCTTAACACAATTGGGAAACATTAGTGTACCGTTCGCGTCTGATGCTTTGGATTGACTGATACCACCGACTACTTATCTTCTGGTCCTATAGCAGCAAGGTTTTTAGGTTGATCCCTACCCTTATTAAACTGTTGCTAATTATTATTATGGTTTCTCGCAGATTTGTGTCTATACTGGCAGGTGCGTTACGGGCATTTCTCATCTTTAACGGGCTAGTGTGGATAAGATATCGAATATATTGAAGTCGGAACATAATATAGCGGAGCATTCACGTACTGGATGTGCACATACCAGAACCGCTTAGTGCAAAACCAGACAGGAAAAGCTCAGAAATCTCTGATAGTTATGACAACATATCACTAGGCTATTCAACATGTCATAAAAATTAAATTAAAGATAGACAACATACGACAACGCCATAAAGTGAGAAATCCCGCAGCACAGCAGAAGTTTGTCGGTTTATGACTGTCTGGCAGAGAGAAAGTTTGCACATCAAAAGCATACTGCTGCTTTTATTAACATGGCTACCCGTCCTCAGGAAAGCTCGTAACGCAAGAATTAGATAATTAATTTAGGCGGGATCATGAAAATAGGAATAAATTAGTCTATTTGTGTGACGGTTATAATCTTCATTGGAGTGTTCTTAGGATTCCACCACATAACCTGTCTTTTGAATTTGCAAGTTCTCTAACAGAAGGCATTGGAATGGCCATCATAGGACTGGTTGAATATTTAGAATTGGTCAGGCATCAGGCAACACATTTAAACGGAGTGTATTATTACTGAAGACTGGTATATTCAGATTCAGGCTGAAAGGTGCCGAAAGGGTATCTGGATCAAAAGACACTAAAAAGAATGGCACTCTTTATATTTCTGATGTCGGTAATAATACACTATCTCGGCCAGGAAAGGAATGTCAGTTTCAAAAGGACAGTCAAGACAGTGATCAGTTGATTAAAAGGCAGTTAAGTAGATATCTTAACTATCCTCTCATCCCAATCCAGGCTGAAGAAAAAAGTCTGGCTCTCCTCACTATAGCAGCTAAATGAAGAGTTGGATTTTCTGTGTGCTTCTGCAAGCAATTTGACCAAATTAATCATGCAGTTGTCTAAATTTGAGGAGTTAAAGCTCTGAAACAGGTGCTGAAGCTTGAAAACCCCCCTGCGTTCTATTGGGGATATGTGCACATTAGTTTGTGTGCAGGTTTTGAAAACTATCTCTTTGTTTTTTTGTTATAGCTGGATCTTGTGCATCAGCTATAGTCCTGTTTTTGTTATCTCAGTTATATACTCTTGAGATTCTTGATGTACATAAACTTTACAATTTGGTGATGAATAAAATTTTTTATTTACCAAAAAAAAAAA